AGACGACAGACTTATTGATGCATACCAATCATTCAAAGGGGCAGCACGGAGACATTTTGGTCAGAATGTTTTAAATATAAAAACCTTTCATTCCGAAGGTTTCTGGGAGGCAGGGAAGATGTACAGAATTCATAATTCTTGTTTACCAGAATCACATTCAGCAGACAAAGCCATAAGGGTGGCCACTGTCCAACAATCTGGTTAACTCTAGAGAATGAAAGAATGTCCTCTGTGCCAGCTCCCAGACTCCCCACAGGCCACGCTCGCTCACAAGCCAGAGTTTTCAGCAGTAACTAATATGAGAACAAATGATTTCTCATCTGGCTTGAAAAGAATTTTAATATATGTAAGGGTTAGTCTAGGATCATCCCAAGAAAGGAAGATGTCTGAGCACTGTTTCCAGCAATACACATTTCCTCAACAGGAGTCCCTTCAGAAAGAGAAGAAAATACTATGCCTGTCTATCTGTGTTGCAGGTGCATGCGTACACACGCACCATGGGGTGAGTGTGTGGAGGTCAGAGACCAGTTCCCAAGAATCATTTTTCTGCTTCCACAGTTTGGGCCCCAGAGATCAAATGTAGGCTTTGGTTTGGAGACAGGCACATTTTTGTACGGAGTCGTCTCATCAGCCAAAGGCTCTATTTTCAAAAGGAACTTGAAGACTGGAAAAAAAATGAAAGAAAGGAAAAGAGAGGGAAGGAAGGAAGGCAGGAAGGAATCGAGAAATAATTTTCTTTCAGGAACTAAACCTAATAATGCTTCTATCAAAAATCATTTTAACAATCAGTGACATCACATTTCAAGGCTGTAAATTGCCAGTGAGACTCTCTCTCCATTAAGAATATGATTATCAGGGGTGCTATCTCAGTGGTACAGTACTTGCCTGGCAGGTCTAAGGCCATGAGTTCGAGCCCCGCCAAGCATACACAAAGACAAAAATGAGAACTTGCTGATGAATTTTGAAACCAAAAGTGAATGAAATGAAACAGCTTTACAACAAAAGTTAACTTAAAGGAGACCCCTCGCTCCTGACTCCTTTCAGTCGGCAACTATGTGTGCACACAATAGCAGTAAAGAGGAAAATACTGCAGTCTTTGGGGAGACCTACCCAGCACACATCCAGCAGATGCGGCCTTACAATGTCAGGCACAAATGCCTGCCGTTTAAAAATTTTCGGTACACAGTACTTGTAAGAGGCTTGCAGTGATCACATAACTGATCTGCCGTTACTCCAAGTTTACTATGTATTGCAAGATAAAGCAAATGATTAATTACAATGCTGTTCCTGGGATCTTTGATTGGCAGCCTGCCAAAAAGAAGACACGGACGTAAGACATGCATGGTAGGATAAAAGCCTGGTGGGCCTGAGTTAGAATGGAAAGACTCAGTTCGAACATCATGACGATCTTATTTATAAACAGCCCACACAGCATGCATTGTTTATAGTTTATCTCTGCCCACTCTAAAGGCCGAGAAACAAAGGTCCAACCTTGTAATAATAAGCACCACATTACCATGGTTTATATTCTTTTAACAACTAGAAGCAATCAAGGCTCCTTGGAGAATGTTTGAATACAAGTTCATAGGGGGATGCGGGTAAGTGCTGAAGTACCTACAATCCGAGAAAGGAGGGAAGCTCTCCATGACCTCTCATGCATCAAAAGCAGGCAAAGCCAATTTGAAGAGGAAACCACAGGCTAAAATAAGACATTCGGAGCATGCGTCATGCTTTATAATAGATTACAAAACTTGAGATACACTTAACTGCTAGTCAGTGTGTAAATATTAGGAAGCTATGAACATGTGGGTCCCTTCAGAGGATGCCAAGCAAGAAACTAATGCATCAGAGCCAGTCAGTCTTTTGTCTGGTGGTAACCAAGTGAGGGCAAGTCTCTCTCTACAGAGTACACCAGCAAGCAAAAGATCAAACACCACCGTTTTGCAACCCTAATAAACTCCTGCCTCTAGACAGTTAGCACTAGTGGTTCCTACCACAGAGAGAAAACTCTCGGATATCATTACAAGTCGTCAGAATATATTAGATATAATCATGTGATTACAAGTATCACAAGGCGCTCATGGCAAGGAAATAAATATTAATTGGATCTGAACCCAGTCAACCTCAATACATAAAAACCAATGTTGAAGAAATAGCACGAAAAGTTAATAAAACTAACTACATGGTAGGAAACCCAGGTGGCTAGGTTTCTTCAGTGAGGAGTGGTGTAGCGGGAGAGTTATATGGATAAGTACACAAAGGAAATACACCACTTATAATGCATGGACCATATGTTAACCCTGATTTGAACTAATACTTAAAATATATGTATAACTTGTACATCTACGGGACAATGTTGACTACTGCAAGCCAAGGAAACACACAATCATGTGGAGGAAGTGTTTGCATTTTCACGTAGGATGTGGAGACTTACACTGGTCTTTTAAAAATACACAGTAAAATTATTTAAAGACAGAATAGAGAGAAGGCTAAGGTTCCCTTCAGAATTATACTCGGGGAAGGAGAAAGTGTGTGCAATTCAGCTGGACTGAGATGGGTCACAAGTTAGTAATTCCTCAAGCTGAGGCCTGGCTCTACAGAGACCATGAGACCACCGGGCTCAGCATTTGAAGATATTGTTGAGGTTGTGAATACAGCACAATGTGTACAAACCCATGATTCAAAACCAAATTCAGTTTAAATCTCCAAAACACATGTGAAAGCCCAGCAGGGCCCTGAGTGTCTATAAGGCCACAACTGTCCCTGGCAGCTAAGATGGAAGCTTTCAGGCTCAATAAGTGACCGGGTATCAAAAAATAAGGCAGAGAGTGACAAAGGAAACACCAGGGTTCCACCTGCAGTTTTTATGTGTGTACACGTGTGTATATAACAAACATCTACCCACTCAGAGAGACTGAAATCTGTCATTGTGTGCAGAGAACCATGGTAAATCACTATATTTGGCACAAGCGGGGCTGGATTCAAACCATAATGAGATGGATATTTTTGGTCAACAACACATTGACCAGTCAAATTCTACTTGTCCTCCCTTCTGCAGAGCTCTAAAGAACCTGTAGACATTAGTTATCCTGTCTTCAGTAGCCGGTGAAATAACAGAGGAAGGGAAAACCAAAGAAGCGAAACTGTACCATAAAATCAACTGACCTTTATAAGAACTTCAGGTTTAGGGACCCCATTGATGGAGATCTGCCAGTCTGACGCCACAGAAGCAGCTTTACTCAGCACGGACACAGAAAACCTCCCAATGCTATCCCCCTTCTCTACTCTTTCCCACCACCATCCTCTACAACACTGCCATCTCAATGAAAGCTCACAGTAGAAAGTCAACGTGATTCAAGCACCACGAACAAATACCACACTTAGCTCTTCTCTGATACCCTCAAATGACCCTCAGGCTTATCATTGTAACCAGGGGGTACCCTAAGGGATAGCTCTAATGAAAAACCAAATACATCTAATTAATTGCATTGCTCGGGGCTAGTGAAAGACCAGAGGTTTCTGGGGCCCCAGGAGAACAGTCGTATTCATACAGAATGGTGCTACACACGAGTACAATTCTTGCAAATACCAGATCTGCCTGTCTCTTTGGCTATGCTATGCCGATTTGGATCTCACCTTTGAGGTCCTTCCTGCAGAGGAGAGACTCATGCTATCAAAACTGCATTTTAGGGGCTAAGAAGACATGTTAAGTGAAAATCAGTCCACAATATCAATAGGTCCATTGGTCCAGTTCAGTGTTGTATGTGTGCTTATGTATTGTGTGTATGTGTGCGTGCATGTATTGATAAAATAGAATGTATGCTGTTTATTAAGAAACTAAAGAAGGTACTCTTGAGGATGGAAGTGGGGGATAGGACACTGGAATAAAAAAACAGACCACAAAAAGTCCCTGTTGAGATTGCTAGCGCATGATGAGCCCTGAAATTACACTTGGAGACAGCAAATCCCAAGTCTCCACCACCAGTGGCCCAATAGCTACAACTCTTTATTCGATGCTATTGAGTAGTCAAAGACAGGAAATCAGATGGTTAGCACTGCAATTACAGTTGAAGCTCAATTTATTCAGAGTATTGCACTAATAAGCAAAATCCACATATAATTTAGAACTTCAGGCACAGGTTTCCGGATCTTCTTCAGCGATTCTTTATGAGTGCTAGCTATATTTATGAATATCAGCCAGATTGATCGGTTTGTAATTTTGCTTCCCTTGCTTGCTGTAGTTGTCTTTCTAAAGAGGCAGGAGAACCAGCAGACGGTAGAGCTGCCTGAAGGAGCCAGGAGAGCAAGTGGAAGATGGGGACGAGGAGAACGAGGGGAACTTGCCTCGAGCAGAGAAGGTGGGCACAGTGATTTGTGAAATGGGACAGAAAAGTGTATGCACCAAAACATAGGCTGCTTTTTGAATAATTGAGCAGAGGATATTTATACGTCATTTCTCTTTAAGAATCCAAGGGCTAATGATTTTAAGTAATAAATAATGTCAATGTGTTATTTTGTTTAGTGTCGTGTTCAAGATCAACAGGGCTATTGATATGCGTGGATCTGTGCAGTCATATTAGAGGATCAATAGTCCATTCTGTCTCTGGTTTCCAGGAGGCAGAGGGAGCCACAATTCTTACTTAAGATGGCTTAAAAGCCTGAGATTCCTAAGTATTTCTGTTTTGAAAGAGAATGTGAAGATGTCCCCTTTCAGCCAAATATCCGATCTAATCAGTAACAAACTGAGCTACATAGGAAGAGCTCTAAGAACATTTTGGAGAACTACCATTTCTCAGAGCTTCAAACTATTAAAACGAAGCAAACAGAAGGCAGTGTGGGTGGAATTAATGGGACCTCATTGTCGGCTCCTGCGGCCATCATAATAATCAAAACCATGTAGCAATTGGTTTAAAAGATAATTCTGTTCATTTGATAGCTCGGCAAAGATTCACCATAAAAGACAATAAAGGTCAACGAGGCTGTTCCCAGAGAGGACTCACCTGTCTTTCCCAGTTTCCTCCTTGAAGACACCATCGCAGTAACTCATGCGCTGCTCTGTGGTCACGTAAATCTGTGCGTTCGGATAATTATCAACTGTCTTTTTCAGCATGTTGTACACAATGCCGTTCCCGTCCTTCCTCATGTTGCGGAAAGGGCCCCAGATAACATAAATGGTGGCACTTGCCTCCTTGAAAAAATAGTCAGGGTTTTTTAGCAAAAGAGGAACGCTGGTGTGGGATACGACGCGAACCATCGTCATGTGGCCGACGTCTTCCTCAAAGCCCTTGGTGGGGGCGTTGTTCATTCTCCAAATGCAGGAAGAGTGGTCTATCTCCTCGCCCACCTTCTGGCCCACCATCTGACCGGAATTGGACACTATGGCGCAGTGGTCACAGTCGAGCTGCAAAGGCTGGAAGAGAGAAAGACAGTCATCAAATGAGATCTCGAGGAGCGGAGATGTCCCTTACCGCGTGATGACTGCGCATGGGATTACCCCGACACATATCTATCCTGCAGACTCTGCTAGGGGTTATCAAGTTAGCAGTGGGCATTTATTAGGAGAGTAAATACATCCTGTTGGAAAACGATCACTTTCTGTAGCCCTATGCTAGTTTAGAATTATGTGGGAAAACAGCCATTCATTTCCGCTCTGAAGGATGAGTTTTATAAAGTTAGACCCGTAATTTCAAATGAAATGAGAGAATATGAGCTATTTCTTTTCTATGGTAAGGATGCTGCCAGGGCTACATACCTAGGCACGTATGTTGTACTTTGATATGCATGCATGGGTAGGTGGCATTCGGGAATGTAGAGAAGGCAGCAGATGATGTAGAGAGGGAATGTAGAGAGGCAGGAGACATACACAATCCAGACCACTTCAGGCAGCAAAAAGATTACAGTGATGCCTAAAAATCCCCGAGTCGTCGTATTAATGATCCTTTGAGCTTGAATTGGTTTTAGGTGGACAAGCGAAGGCCTCTCTTGAGAACACGGAAAGGCATGCACACATCTCAGAAGCCTGATACCTCTTTTCCATGGAACTATCAGATTCAGAAGAAAAACACTGATGTCTAGAATTTGTAGTTAATACAGATCCCAGCGGCAGAGCCAAGCCCACAACCTTCTAAACACAGACCCTCTAAATGAGAACTTCCAAGCCTGTATCTTCTAGGTCTGGGTCTCCTTTGCTTTACATTTGTTTTATTATTTATTTATGTGCGAGTGTGTGCGTGTATGTATGTGTGTGTATCTGTGTGTGCACACCTGGGAACAATGGAGAGCCGCCAGAGGCACCACTGAGAAAAGGCGTTGAGTGAAGAAAAGGGACTGGCCATAGAGATACATAAGCAAAAGCCACTGCAGATGCTTTGAGGCTGGAATTGATGAACTGTGCACTCCAGAAAGCTAATGCAGACAGCAAGTTAGGCATTTGGGTCAGGGAGGTGGCCGTCATGAATCGCGTGAATCCCTTGACTTCCTGTGCACTGGCGATCTTTAACAGTAGAGCAGATGACCTGACCTGACTTGACCAACCTTGGCTGTTACATGGAGAATTGGACCACAAGAACAAAGGGTTGAAACCAAGAAAGCAAGCCGCTGCTCATCACCCAGGGTGATGGGAGACACACAGAGGGATGATGAGGGTGTGATGCTGACAATCTTAGGCTGTATTCCGGACTGGTCCAGAAACGAAACGTGTGAATGTAGATGTGAAACGGGAAGAAGCCAAGGGTGACGACAGGCTTCCTGCCACGTCCGTGTGAGACTACAGCTGCCTTGACCCATGAGGAAAGGAGGGTGTTTAGAAATAAACCCAAGAAGAGAAACCAGAGCTTGTTTCCAGAGTGGGCAGGTGGGAGACGCCTGGGGTAAGGAGAGCTACAGTACATCTCATACCAAAGCTACTCAAACTGCCTTAAATGTACGTCTTGCTCTGGGCATTCAAGCAGTATGGGCTCACTATGAAGAACTTGAAAAGGCAGGAAAGAGTAAGACTGAAGTTATCCATCACTCAACGGTGACAAGCATCTCACATTTCCCTCTTCCTACATAGGCTCCTGTAGGCAGATTGAGAGACACCAACTACACAGCTCGGCACCTTTGATTTTCTTCTGGTTTTGTGTTGACCTTCTCCATACCAGTAAATAATCCTTGCAGATAATTTAATGTCAGTCATTGTTCAGTTACATAGACATGCCATAATGTATCTATTGCTGGGCATCCGGCCATTTTCCGATTTATTTCCTACTATAGAAAGTACTTCAGTAAACATCTCTACATCCTAGAGTATTTGAGCCAACGGTTACGGTGTTAACTTAAACTTGTTTCCTTTCGTTTCTCTTTACTCCTGTTAACATGCAACATCTGGCAAAGGCATCTGTGTGTGTTGTCAAAACTAAGAATTAGATAAAACACAACCTGTTGGAGTCACACAGGCCCATTTCAGAGATGCCTTAGAACACTGCGATCAGGGCTGAAGGAACGGCTCAGTGGTTCCAAGCATGTCTTTTCACTCTTGCACAGAGCAGGGACTCAGTGCCCAGTACCCACATGGTGACTCACAACCATCTGTCCCTCTGGCTCTAGGGGATCCTGTGAGCACTCGGCAGGCACACACTATACTTCCAAAATATATGCATGCACATATACAATAACAATAAATAAAACTTTAACATAAGTACCTCTGTGATCAGGGGGCATGATGATGGAGAAGTAGAGACAGGAGGATCACGAGTTCAAGGTCATCCCAGTAATCTAGAGAAGCTGAGGCTAGCCTGGGCTACCTGTTGCATTAAATAAACAACTTTGTGATGAAGGAATTATATATCACCTTGATCAACTGCAGTAAGCAGCTGATAGGCCAAACCCCAGGACAGAAGAGGTCTGCCCAAAGTGGATGAGTACACTGGGACACCTGAACACACGGTTCCCAGCCAGTTCCATCACATAGACTATTAAATGAAGGCACAACTGAGTGACTTTCAGGGTCAGGCGTTGTCTGCGGCTTTACCTTGTCATGAGAAGCCTACATTCTTTCAGACAATATGCAAAGAGTGAAATCTTCTTGGGATTTTGGGTAGGGCTTGACATCTGCTACCCACAGCTGAGTCCTCCAGTTTCATCCTGAATCTGGCACACCAGTGCCTGTTATAAACCATGCATTACACGGCTTGCTCCGATTCACCACCACCATGCATAGGGGCAGCAAGATTACATCCCACTGACCATCCCAACAAGGTCCTTAAGTAGGTCATAAAACCATATTTGGGGTACAGCGTTCACAGAACGAAAATCAGACACCAAAGGTTTGGATGTGCTCTACAAATGTGGCAATCTGCACTGGATTTCCCAGCCATTATAACGAATCAGCCAGTTCTGCTGTAACACAACTTAATTTAAGCTAATAAGAATCAGCAGGCTGGTCTCACTCGACAATCGCAACCTCGGAGAGTGATCCATTAAGACATTCCAATCTGTTCCACGACAACACAGGGAAGCCACAGCTGTGCAGATTAGGAGGTCAGCAGTGCGGACAACAGTTGGTTGTTTGTGTGAAAAACATGTAATGCAGAAGACGGCATTCAGTGCAGTGGCTTTGGTTGTGGATGACAGTTCAACTGGCCACTTCTGTGCACTGTCCCCTGAATGACATTGTCACTGTGAACACAGTCTCCAGAGACTCTGGCAGGTGCCTTACTGGCCCCAACCCTGCCTGGCTCTCTGACTTCCTGGGCAAGGCCAGGGACACATGAGTGGACTTGCTTAGAACCCTATTAACCAGAAGTTTCAGGAACCATTTAAAAGTATGGCGGGAAAGCCAGAGCTGACAAACAAAAACTTCCAAATCGGAATCAGAAACTCCAAGCTGTCAGGAGAGTTGGCCGTGTTCCCAGGGATGCATCCGTGTGTTTGAAGGAACCGCCATCAAATTACTATGAGCCATGATTAAAGAAAGAGCCTAGGTACACATGGCTGATCTGCAAGACCTGCCTCACCCAGTCATCCCCATGTCTTTTATTACCTCTGTCCTGTGACTTCTAATCTCAGCTTTGTTAAATGCATTGCTGTTTCTTGTATTCATTTAATATTTGATTTGGGAGCCTTGAGTACAAATGTATTACATATGTCTCCGTGGATTCATTCAGCCTCAGTAAATGGTGACTCTATCTTCCTAGATCGAGGGCCTGGATTTTGTGAGATCTCAGGTAAGACTTATTTGGTCCAATTCATAAATCTCCATCTTAATTTCAAATTCTTTTCAGTTGAATGGTCTCTGTATTTTTTTTTTATTTTCATTAAAAATAGTATGCCCCTTGGATCTTGTCTTCTGTAACAAAACATCTTTTAAAATCTTCTGCTTGGCTAAGAACACAGATATATTTAACTAATCCCTTTCTGGCAGTTATGCCACTGTTAAAGAAAACCTACAATAGAGGAAGGGCAAGGTGAAGCGCCTGCTCAGAGTTTGATATTCCAGGATCAATGTGAGAAATTAAAAATGCTGGCAGAGTGACATGCGTGTGTAATCCCAGTACCGATTCACAAGGCTCACTGGCCAGATGGCTTAGCACACTTGGTAGGCTCCAGGCCAGTGAGGGACCCTGTGTCTCAGAAAAGGTAGGCTATGTCTGAGAACTGACATTGCAAGTTGTCTTTTGGCCTGTGTGTGTATCCGTGTGCATGTACACACAGAAAACCACTGATGCTTTTCTGTCGGCTTAGCAGCTACACATGAATCTCCTGGCCACAGAGCCACAGTCAACACACTGCTGGCCACTCAGGCTGCAGCCTGGAGGGCCTCCCGGTCCCACAGTTCTGGCTCTGCCATGCCATGATATGTAAGTTTAAACTAAATCTCTATGGTTCTATTTGACAACAAAGACTCAGACATCAGATGTGGGGGTGAAAACCTGCTAGATCAGAGAAGCTGAGAAGCAACCAGTTGACCTTCCTTTATGGCCTGAGATCCAGCGAGAGAGAGGAGTCTCGCCACTTGTCTCAAAACCAAATAAAAAGCAGCCAAACTCAAGTCCCTCCCCATTTTTTCCCATGCATCTTCTCTATCCAAGCTGCTGGCTTCTCTACGGCCAGTTTGGGTCATCTTCATCACTAGCTCTGCCCCCTGATTCAAAGTAAACTTTATTTAACAGTCGTGGAGAGCCACAGTGAGATCCAAGTTCCTGCAACAAACCACACATGCCAAACACTTCATTTTGTTGAAAGTCTACAATACTGACTTATAAAACAGCAACAACTATATATTTGTTTTGAGTATTTCTTCCTTTTCAAAATTACACCAGCTCTAAGCCATTATACTTAGTTATAAACACTCGGGAAACGGTTAAAAACTGGCGACATCTGTTAGACAACCTAGTAATTTTTCCACGTAGAAGCTCTCCTGCACAAGGC